CCCAAACCCAACTCTGGAACGTTCTTCTTGGTTCTGATGACCCAAACCCAATTCTGGAATGTTCTCCATGACCCAAACCCAACTCTGGAAGGTTCTCCATGGCCCAAAACACAATTCTGGAAGGTTCTCCATGGTTCTGATGACCCAAAACACAATTCTGGAAGGTTCTTCTTGGTTCTGATGACCCAAACCCTAAATCTGGGCGGTTCTTTACGGTTTTGATGACCAAAACCCAACTTTGGGAGGTTCTTCATGACCCAAACCCAACTCTGGAACGTTCTTCTTGGTTTTGATGACCCAAACCCAACTCTGGAAGGTTCTCCATGGCCCAAAACACAATTCTGGAAGGTTCTCCATGGTTCTGATGACCCAACCCCCAAATTTGGGCGGTTCTTTATGGTTTAGATGACCCAAACCCAGCTCTGGAAGGTTCTCCATGACCTTCATGACCCAAACCCAACTCTGGAACGTTCTTCTTGGTTCTGATGACCCAAACCCAATTCTGGAATGTTCTCCATGACCCAAACCCAACTCTGGAAGGTTCTTCTTGGTTCTGATGACCAAATCCCAATTCTGGAAGGTTCTCCCGGCTTTCCCTGCCCCCAATCCCGGATTTTTGGGGTTCTCCATGACCTTGATGACCAAACCCCAACTCTGGAAGGTTCTCCAAGACCTTCACGACCAAAGCTGGAAATCTCTCCATGATTTTTAATGACCAAACCCCAACTTCGGGCGATTCCGCCGCAGAACCCAAAAGTCCAACTCTGGAAGGTTCTCCGTGGTTCTGATGACCCAGAACACAAATCTGGGAGGGCCTCCATGACCTTCGTGACCCAAAACCCAACTCTGGAAAGTCCTCCATGGTTCTGACGACCCAAACCCAATTCTAGAAGGTTCTCCATGACCCAAACCCCAACTTTGGGAGGTTCTCCATGGTTTTGATGACCCAAACCCAAATTTGGGAAGTTCTTCTTGGTTTTGATGATCAAAACCCAACTCTGGAAGGTTCTCCATGACCCAAACCCCAACTTTGGGAGGTTCTCCATGGTTTTGATGACCCAAACCCAACTTTGGGAAGTTCTTCTTGATGACCCAAACCCAACTCTGGAAGGTTCCTCATGACCCAAACCCCAATTCTGGAAGGTTCTCCGTGGTTTGATGACCAAACCCCTATTCTAGAAGGTTCTCCATGACCCAAAACTCAACTTTGGAAGGTTCTGATGACCCAAACCCCAATTCTGGAAGGTTTTCCATGACCCAAACCCCAATTCTAGAAGGTTCTCCACGGTTCTGATGACCCAACCCCAATTCTAGAAGGTTCTCCATGACCCAAACCCCGACTCTGGAAGGTTCTCCACGGTTCTGATGACCCAAACCCCAACTCTGGAAGGTTCTCCCGGCTCTCCCCGCCCCGATCCCGGGATTCCGGGGTCCCCCGAGCCCCCCTAGATGCGGAAGCTCTCGGCCTTGCCGTCGATGTGCCGCAGCCTCAGGTAGACGTCGGTGCCGACGCCCTGCAGCGACTGCAGCGCCAGGGACCCGCCCAGGTACTCGGCGTAGGCGCGGGACGTGGGCAGCCCGAAGCCGAACCTGCGGGGACAGACGGGAATTCCCGGAATTCCTGAAAATCCCGGAGGGGCGTCCCAAAAAATCCCGTCCCAATCCCAGAAAAAATCATCCAAATATCCCAAAAAATCATCAAAATATCCCCAAAAAAATCATCCGAATATCCCCAAAAAATCCCATCCAAATATCCCAAAAAAATCATCCGAATATCCCCAAAAAATCATCCAAATCCCACAAAAATCCCATCCAAATATCCCAAAAAAATCATCCGAATATCCCCAAAAAATCATCCAAATATCCCAAAAAATCCCATCCAAATATCCCAAAAAAATCACCCAAATATCCCAAAAAATCATCAAAATCCCACAAAAATCCCATCTGAATATCCCAAAAAATCCCATCCAAATATCCCAAAAAATCCCATCCAAACATCCCAAAAAAATCATCCAAATATCCCAAAAAATCATCCAAATATCCCAAAAAAATCATCCAAATCCCACAAAAATCCCATCCAAATATCCCAAAAAAATCATCCAAATATCCCAAAAAATCATCAAAATCCCCCAAAAATCCCATCCAAATATCCCAAAAAATCCCGTCCCAATCCCGGAAAAATCATCCAAATATCCCAAAAAAATCATCCAAATCCCACAAAAAATCATCCAAATATCCCCAAAAAATCATCCAAATATCCCAAAAATCCCATCCAAATATCCCAAAAAAATCATCGGAATCCCACAAAAATCCCATCTGAATATCCCAAAAATCATCCAAACATCCCAAAAATCCCATCTGAATATCCCAAAAATCCCATCCAAATATCCCAAAAAATCCCGTCCGAATCCCACAAAAAATCATCCAAATATCCCAAAAAAAGTCGTCAAAATCCCACAAAAATCCCATCCAAATATCCCAAAAAAATCATCAAAATATCCCCAAAAAATCATCAAAATATCCCAAAAAATCATCAAAATATCCCAAAAAATCATCCAACTATCCCAAAAAAATCATCCAAATCCCACAAAAATCCCATCCAAATATCCCAAAAAATCCCATCTGAATATCCCAAAAATCCCCTCCAAATATCCCAAAAATCCCATCCAAATATCCCAAAAAATCCCGTCCAAATCCCACAAAAATCATCCAAATATCCCAAAAAATCATCCAAATATCCCAAAAAATCCCATCCAAATATCCCAAAAAAATCCCGTCCGAATCCCAGGAAAAATCATCCAAATATCCCAAAAAAAATCGTCAAAATCCCACAAAAATCCCATCCGAATATCCCAAAAAAATCATCAAAATATCCCAAAAAATCCCATCCAAATCCCACAAAAAATCATCAAAATCCCAAAAAAAATCCCATCCGAATATCCCAAAAATTCCCCTCCAAAACCCCCCAAAACCCCCCTAAAAACCCCGAACTCCCCCAAACCCTCTGGGATCCCAGATTTCTGGGGATTATCCCAAATTTTTGGGGGGCTCATTCCCGGTTTTTTGGGGTCCCCCCCCCCGGGAATTTGGGGAGGGGTCTCTGACCCGTGCATGGGCCCCGCCTGCCCGTTGGGCTCCATCAGGCCCCGGAAGGGCCCCCCCAGGCGCGGGTCCTGCGCGCTCGCCTCGGCCGTGCTGAAATGGTACTCGGTGACCTTGTCCAGCAAATCGTGGGGAATTCCTCCCCCCCGGTCCGAAATCCTGCCAAAAAACGGGAATTCCGGAAAATTCCGGAAAATTCCGGAAAATTCGGGTGATTTTGGGTCATTTCAGGGTGTTTTGGGGTCATTTTGGGGTGATTTTGGGGTGATTTTGGGGTGTTTGGGGTCACTGCTGGTACTCGGTGACCTTGTCCAGCAAATCGTGGGGAATTCCTCCCCCCCGGTCCGAAATCCTGCCAAAAAACGGGAATTCGGGAAAATTCCGGAAAATTCCGGAAAATTCCGGAAAATTCGGGTGATTTTGGGGTGATTTTGGGTCATTTTGGGTCATTTCAGGGAGTTTTGGGGTGATTTTGGGGTGTTTTGGGGTGTTTGGGGTCACTGCTGGTACTCGGTGACTTTGTCCAGCAAATCGTGGGGAATTCCTCCCCCCCGGTCCGAAATCCTGCCAAAAAACGGGAATTCGGGAAAATTTCAGAAAATTCCGGAAAATTCGGGTGATTTTGGGTCATTTTGGGTCATTTCAGGGAGTTTTGGGGTGTTTGGGTCACTGCTGGTACTCGGTGACCTTGTCCAGCAAATCGTGGGGAATTCCCCTGCCCCGGTCCGAAATCCTGCCAAAAAACGGGAATTCGGGAAAATTTCAGAAAATTCCGGAAAATTTGGGGTCATTTTGGGTCATTTCAGGGAGTTTTGGGGAGTTTTGGGGTGTTTTGGGGTCACTGCTGGTACTCGGTGACCTTGTCCAGCAAATCGTGGGGAATTCCCCTGCCCCGGTCTGAAATCCTGCCAAAAAACGGGAATTCCGGAAAATTCCGGAAAATTCCGGAAAATTCGGGTGATTTCGGGGTGATTTTGGGTCATTTCAGGGAGTTTCGGGGTCATTTCAGGGAGTTCTGGGGTGTTTGGGTCACTGCTGGTACTCGGTGACCTTGTCCAGCAAATCGTGGGGAATTCCCCCACCCCGGTCCGAAATCCTGCCAAAAAACGGGAATTCCGGAAAATTCCGGAAAATTCCGGAAAGTTCGGGTGATTTTGGGTCATTTCAGGGAGTTTTGGGGTGATTTTGGGGTGTTTGGGGTCACTGCTGGTACTCGGTGACCTTGTCCAGCAAATCGTGGGGAATTCCTCCCCCCCGGTCCGAAATCCTGCCAAAAAACGGGAATTCCGGAAAATTCCGGAAAATTTCAGGGATTTGGGGTGATTTTGGGGTGATTTTGGGGTGATTTTGGGTCATTTCAGGGAGTTTGGGATGTCGGGATTTGGGGATTTGGCCGCATTTTGGGCCATTTTTGGTCACATTTTGGGCCATTTTGGGCACATTTTGGGGCCATTTTTGGGTCATTTTGGGCCATTTTGGGACATTTTTGGGACATTTTTGGCCACATTTTGGGCCACTTTTGGGCACATTTTTGGGTCATTTCTGGGCCATTTTTGGCCATTTTTGGCACATTTTGGACACATTTTTTGGGCCATTTTTGGCCATTTTTGGTCACATTTTGCGCCATTTTTGGCACATTTTTTGAACCATTTTGGGACTTTTTAGGGCCATTTTTGGCCATTTTTGGGGCCATTTTTGGCCACATTTTGGGCCATTTTTGGGGCCACCTTGGGCACGTTTTTGGGGCCATTTTTGGGGTGATTTTGGGCCGTTTTGGGCCGGTACCGGATGACGAGGTCGATGTCGTTGTTGGCGATCGTCACCACGATGTCGGGGACGTTGTACGGAGTGTCCAGGTGCGACTCCATCGTCGCCCTGAGCCAAAATCACCCACAATCACCCCAAAATCAGCCACAATCACCCCAAAATCACCCAGAACCACCCAAAATCACCCAAAATCACCCAAAATCAGCCCAAATCACCCAAAATCACCCCAAAATCACCCAGAATTCACCCCAAAATCACCCCAAATCACCCAAAATCAGCCACAATCACCCCAAAACCACTCAGAACCACCCAGAATCACCCAAAATCCACACAAAATTACCCCAAATCGGCCAAAATTACCCCAAATCCTCCCAAAATCACTCAAAATTACCCAAAATACCCCCAAATTACCCCAAACCCACCCCAAATTCACCCCAGGTGTCCCCAGGTATCCCCAGG